GCTTACTTCATACAAACACTGAAAAAAACCTKTATTTTTAGGTGATTTTCATAGTAGCAGTATCATCATGGGAAATCTTATCAAGATCAACTGCTCCTGTCACTGGGTACAGCTCTCTTTTGACAAATATATGGCAGCACAACCTAGCTATGATAGATCAGCATCCCTGGAGTTAGGCAGAAGAAAATGAGTCATGCCCAAGTTGCGTAGGACTGGCTTGTCAGAATCTGGTAGGAGGTCCTCAAAAAGCAGAGCTGTCTTCTGAAAGCTCATAGCTGAAAGGGCAACACAGAAWCCTGCTGATGGAGAGATGACAGAGCTCAAACATTTCAGGGAGCGACACTGGGGGTTTTCAGAAAGGTCTGCTACATACTACTACTCTAACACAAGAAAAGAATATCAGCTAAATAACCTGTCTGTATCACAACACTAAGACTGAACCTTCAGAAGAGGTGAAGGGAAAAAGCTCTCAGGACACCAGAAGATGTGGAACACACTAGCACAAGCATTGAAGAGTTACAATCAAAACATTGGAAGGCTGTAAGGAAAAAAAACTCAGCTAAGGGCAAAGGATGTTACAAGTGCTTGACACCTTATCTCTGAGTGGGAGTCCAATGCCACACAGCTACAAAAAGGCCAAGATTTTTCCTGGTTAATTGCTTTCAATATTTGTTTCGAAACAGTCTACAAATCCAGCCAATCACAGCTTTTTTAAATGAATCTCATATTATGGCAATGCAACTGCTCACTGATATAACAAAACACAGATCTCTGCTGAATTTCTTCTACTCTTCATCACTAAAAATAAAAAAAAAATATGCTAAGAAATTAAAAACTTAATTAAACTGAGAAACTAATTACATTTCAGAGACAGATGACTGCAYTGAGATGCTATCAAAAAGTAAATGATAGCTTGAAGTCAACATCCTTTAGAGGAGACAGGACTTGAAATTTCTTTGAATTTTTGTAATCTAAAACCAGATTACAAGGAGCTTAATTAGAGAAAAATAAAAGTATTGGAATTAAAAAAAAAAAAACAACCAACCCTGTAATGCTCTTCTTCACCAGAGAAATATACTAGCAGTTTACCAAGGAAGCAACAGAAGTCTCATAGCTCATAAACTTTTAAGATCTGTGCATGCCAAAATAGTCACGCAAAAGCATTTTGCTACATGACCAAATTCATCATYCTCTTTGTATTCGTTCACCACACATGAAGTCTCACACACTACCACCAAATTCCAAATACATTAGTCAACACCCAGAATGGCCACTGATGCAGCTTCACAGTCACCTTAGTGATGAAATTCCATGGACTATGGACAGACTATCACCAGATGCCATCCCAGGAAGCAGACCATCCTTGTTCCCTCTCTYGACCCCACCTGAATGGTCCTCCCTCTTCTTTGCACTGGTGCTGGGCTCAAAGCAAGTCAGGAATGAGTCTGATAAGAAATGCATCATATTTCCTGTTGCCTGTGGTTCTTGTCACCTTCCTGCAAGCCCGAGCAACAGACAGTGCTCATCACAACTTTAGGGGAATCAATGGTACAAAGCAGAAAGGGAGCACAGACTCCTTGCCTCCTTGTGTGATTTCTGTAGTGGGATGAGCACGCCTACTCTTACTAGCTCTCATGTAACAATATTGCATGCATGGCCAGCTGGGGCCAMCTCCAAAGAAAAAAAACCCTCACTTCAACAGCCACCCACATTAGAACAGCTTAAGCCAATTGTGAAGTTGCAGCAAAAAACACGTTTTCCAGAAACCTTCAYTTCTCAAAGGCCAAAGTCTGATTAATTTGAAGAGCTCAGAGTGTTAAGATGATGGCTAAATTCCAGAATAGAAATGCAATTAAAAGTAAAAGGYTGCATTATGTTGTCCATTGTTTCTTTAGTAACTACCACGTAGTGCTGTAGTTAAAACTGGTCTTAAATATTGTAAGATACAATTTGAGAGAAATTTATTAGCCAAATGCAGGTGTAAGTTCTCTGTCTCACCCAAAGGCAGACAAAGTAACCCATGATCATGGATTAAATTTAAACGTGAAAAGAATTCACAATTATCCAGAGTTACAAAGCAACTTAAAATTGAGTGAATATGAAAATGTGAAAACCCTGCGTTATCTTTCAAGCTCAGAACAGAAGGTTCCTTAAAACCTTCTACCRAATTAAGTAGTGAACAGAGCCCGAGTGAACAGCCAACAGCCTCATCATGTTCCCTCCAACAGAGACAGTTCTGTTGGTCCAATTTTCATAATCGTGACTAAATACCTCCAAGCTCAGTGTCACATGTTACATATTCAGCTGTCATTTAAAAATACTGTTAAAAAAGGCACATATACCCAGGCAAGACAACAGTAATGATAATTGATATAAACAATAAGAAAATATCTGAATACCAGATGAAATATGGCAAAAATAGAATCTTAGGCTCTTCTCTAATGCTAAAATTCATCATACATCCCTCCTCTGTCAAGTGTCTAGATTATCTTAGCAAGCTTCTTCTCTAACCCAGTAAAAACCTCTAATAATGGGAACCTGTATAACTATCTACGTAACTTGACTGTTATAGGTAAAAACTTTCCAGCCTATATTTAATCTAAATCACACCCACTAAAATTTACTTCCTCTTAACCCACAGCTGAACCACAGTAAAAAAAAAAAAATTAAAAAAAAAGCTTTAAAAAAATCCCCAATGCTTCTGTGAACCATTTTTCACATATGTACCCGTCCCACAGCCTTTTCCACATCAAAATAATGGAATACTTTGATTTAAAAAAAAAATTAGTTGCAGGTTCTGAGCCTCTCAATCCACATTGCTACTTTCCTCTGTACTTTATGGATTTAATATCAAAACTAGACACATAAGTGCAATCAAAAAGAAAAAATAAAAGCCTTCTGCAATTTAAACTGGTTTAATATATCCAAGCATGGCATCTAGTGTTGCTAGCCGCATGTTGTTCATACAGACAAATTTGTACCTAAATTATTTCCTACAGCTGCATTTCCCAAACACCTCTATTTGAGCATCCRGAAGCCTCTTCCTAGTGCAGCATTTTTTATTTAGCAGCTTTTTATTTTCTGGATTGTACTTCTCAAACCCCTAAAAATTACTGAATTAAAAGTTTATTCTATTCTTTTCCAGACAAGCGTTGGCATTCTCTCCTAACTCAACAGCGCATTTGCAACTTTTAAGAAAATGATAGATAACCCTGAACAAGTAATCTCTTTTTTTTTCAAATCTTCAAGAGTTCTTCCAGCTTTGCAAAAAGTAACTTAAAACTATTTGGGAGTTAGTTAGTTTGACAGACAAACAACTTCCATTACAAACTGAAACATCGTTTTTATTAACTGGATGAATGTGGAACTACATTGAAACCTCCTAAAACTTAAAACTGATTCTAAKATGGCTTTTAAMCACAYGTATTTTCYAGATCATACTGTCACGTAACACAAYAAATCCACTTATAGCACATTAGATTTCTCAAATAATTGCATTTCTTCACCAGAGTCACTGCTAGGAGGGGGAGAACACAATTGATAGGTCATCTCAGTACTTTTACAGTCCATAAAATATTTWAAAAATTGCTTTTTTCCATAAAGACACGTCAAAATTGATTAAGCATAAAGTGTAGGCACTGTCAGCACTATTCATAGTAAGAACCGTATAATACCAGCTACAATCAGATTAATCACAATCAAAAATAAAAAAGAGAGAGCTGTTCCAACACAGCATTTCCATAACACCCTTGGGAGGTACGGCTGCTGCTTCACAGACTGCGGATGTTCCAACTTCCTTAGTTTACACAGCAAGGCAACAGACTGGACAATTCAGATTTCAGAAATGTCGTGCCCTCAAACAGGACCACTAGATCACRTAGACTTGCATCTCCATCTTGGAGTTATTGCGTTTATACTGCAGAAGTTTCATTAATTATAATTAAAGYTCTTTAAGATGTTGGGCTGAGACGAAACCCGGGTGTGCGCCATCGGCTGAAGTTCACTACTTTCAGCTCTCGGTGTCAATGCTATTCTAAACAACATCAGAAGCTTTTCCTCTGATAAGAAATGCACACTACTTTGATTCTGAGGGAATATACTTTTTTCTTGCTTTGTCCACCTTCCATGCCCTTTCTTCCAATTGCGGAGCTTTTTGAAAAGCACATTAAGAGACAGGAAAAACTTCTAAAYGTTTCCAAAAATTTCCTACCATACAAATCCTATTTTCTTAAATGAACTGTCTAAAGGCAGTAAAGCTTCCCCCTGTTCATTAAAGGTAAATTCAGAATGTGGATAAGCAACTCAGAGCTATCAAAGCCTGATGAAATCAGATTATTTTAAATGTTTCAGCACAACTGCTGGTTTTAACAGCAGGCATTACCAACTGCCCTTAGTACGGCAACGTGAATGTATTCACTGTTCTTTACAGAATTAGGCTGGAATGCTTTGCACTTTCCTGGAGCAGTAAACCCCCCTGGGGGCAGGGACGAACACCTCTGCCTTTGCAGGAGCTGCGAGCTGGCAGTGGCGGGCTCCTTTCCCGTGCCCGCCGCAGCCCCATCCCCATCCCCATCCCCATCCCCATCCCCATCCCCGCCGGAGGCCGCCCCGCGGGTGCGGGTGCGGGTGCGGGGCGGGCGCGCTCGGCGCTCCTCGGCCGCGGTGGCGGCGCCCCGGACACCGCACGGGCGGCACCGCGGGAGCGACGCGGAAGCGGCGGCTCCGGATCTCAACAATATCGCTATTCAACAGGATCCTGCACACATCCTGCGGCGGACCGCTTCCCGGGAAGGGCCGCGCCGGGCAGTACCGCAGCGCCGCCGCCGCAGCCGGACCCCTGCAGACCGGCCCGGCGCCCTCTGCAGAGCCGCACCGCGCCCGGTTCCGCGGCGGCGGGAGGCGGCTCGCGGGAGCCCGGGAGCGCCGCGGACCCCGGGAGAAAGGCGTCCCACCCCTGCACCGACAGCCCGCCCGCCGGCGGGACGCGCGGGGGCCGTTACCTGTCACCGGCTCCGCCGCAGAGGCGGCCGCGCCGCCCCGTCCTCCCCGCCGGCCGCCGCCGCCGCCGTCCGCAGCCTCCAGCTCGCACGCCGCGCCCGCGGCGGCGGCGGGCAGGAGCAGCCCCAGCAGGAGCAGGCAGGTCGGCACCGGCCGCACGCCGGGCGCTCGGAGCCCGCTCATCGGTCCCGGCGCTGCCGCGGAGCGAAGGCAGGAACAGGAGGACGGACGGGAGGATGGAAAGCGGCGCTGGAGCTCCGCGCTGCACCGCCGCCGCTCCGGCAGCTCCAACCCGCTCCGCGCCGCCTCCCGCCGCTTCCGGCGGCCCCCGCGCGCGGCCGACACGTCACCGCGTGGTGACGTCACCGGGGGGGGCGGGCAACCGCTCCGATCCGCTCCGCTCCGCGCGGGGTCCGCGAAACGCGCACCGTGAAAATAACAGATTTTAGCTACAGGAAACAACCACCAGACCTTGGACTTTGTTAAACTTGTCCTTATGGCACCACCAACGTAGACACCTGAGGAGCGCTTTCTGAAGTTTCGGTTCGGTGTGTACTACAGCACTCTCAAACATCAACAAAACGAGAAAAGGAAGAGTTTCAAACCTGATTCCACACAACTGAAACCAGGAAAACTAAGTCTTCACAAAGAAGGAACCACGATTTCATTGTGCTTAAAATCTTGACCAAAAAAAAAAAAATAAAAAAAAAAAGTTTATGCTTAAAGCGTTTCCATCGAGCCACTGAATGGCAGTAAAGTCTGTGCTTTGTGCTGTCCAAATCTGTGGTTTTTTCCAGCGTTCTGTTTAAAGCCATTTAAAGAGAATAACTCAATAACGCGAGCTTCAAAGACCAAATTCAATCTAATATCTTAGATACACAGTACATGAGAAAACAATGCAGCACGGATGCTAAAAGCTATATAAACACTGCATTTCCTATTAACTATTGCAATTACCTAAGAAATAACAGACGAGGGGTTGAAAGAGTTGAGAAAAGCCTTTTCCTGCTTTATTCACCCSACAGGAGACAGGAGCATGAAATGGAGTGGTAAAAGCTGCTTCCACGGGTCAGCAAAATCCAGAAAGCTAACTGTGAAATCATTACAATACTATTAAATGCAGCAGGAAGCAATTTCTCTAGCGACATCATTGGCATACAAACTCCATCCGAACCGAAACATATTTTCATGGGGGAAAAAATACCAAAACTTTAAAGTAATCTTACAGCATATGAATATTTGGAAAATGTGTCTAAACCTAATGAACTCAGATTGAATTGCAAAGTCTGTGCATAGCCTTATCATTTCTGCTGGTGAAAGCAACAGCCTTTAAAGACCAACAGTATCTGACCAGATCTTGTGCAAAGAGAACAATGAAAAGCCTGTATCTTAAGAAAGCTTGTTCAGTGTTGTTTAACTTTAGGGAGTGGAGCTGGAGCAGAGTAGATTTCCCAGATGGAAACAAAGAAACTGGCTGTTGATTTAATTAATTAGTTAATGTTATATTACAAAGACAGATGAATGCATAAATGGTACATGAAAGAGACAAGTTTTCTGGACAAGTGTGAACGATTTTAATTGAGTTAGTGGAGTCAAAATATCCAGACTGCTCAAGTACTGTAAAGAATAAGAATGCATTAGAATAGCTGTGAGATGGGGACCCTCCAAGAAAATGCTGTGGGCCTAAAGTAGAAAATGATCCTTACTGAAAATCCTCTTTCAATATTGGTTCATTTTCACCTCCTGCTTTCAACTACAAGTCCCCAAATCAGGAAGCATGAAATTTATTGTTTGCAAGCAATGCCTGTGTTCTGGAGTTGGGGGGACGTCACTGCTGGTCAGGACATCGTAGCAGAAGATCTCGCAGTGAGAAGCTTCTTAGCTGGAAACACCTCATGATGCACTGCCACTTCATATGAGGCAGAACCAGCTTCATGAGCTCAGAATCAGAAAAAAAGGCTGCAGCCTTTAATCCACAGGGACCTAAATATTTTGTGGTTTCAATATGAGGACCCAAATTCTATGGAGTGCCCTGCAAGGCTTCATCACAGAATCAGAGAAAAATGTATGACCCTCTAGAGTTCATCTAGTGGAACTCCCCTACCCAGCCCTGAGGAACATCCCTCATACCCCCGTGCCAGTTTCATTTCAGACTGGTGACCGCTACTTTTTAAGAAGAATGGTTCAGATTGCCATGTACCTCGTCCACTTCCCCAGTCCCTACTGGACTAAAAAGGTGCTGTGGATGTCACAGCAAGAGCCTTGTGCTCTCAATGTGTGCTGCTCTTATCAGCAGTCATAGAACCAACTATCTCATGACCAAAGGCAATCGTGTTGGTGAAACTGTGCTGGGTTTTCTGAATTTACTTGTCCTTTGTCATCCAASAAATGACTTCCAGAAAGATTTGCTTTGTGTGCTCCTCTGAGGGAGATGCTGRGTAAGGATGACAATTCTGCAGTTTCCTGTATCTTGCTTTGATGATGGATGTGACTTCTGCTTTTTTTTTCCAGTAATTGGAAATCCCATCTGATTGCTGCAGCCTTTTGAAGGTGATAGGAGGCAGCACAATGACATTACTCAACTTCCTCAGCACCTTTACAAGCAGCTCCTGTCCAGCCCTAAGGWCTTGCAAACATCTAATTTGCTAAAGTATCCCCAGTTCAGCCATCCTCTACAGTTACTCTGTCTCCTCCTCCAAACTTTGCCAAACTAGCAGAGAGCTCGGTGAGCCCTGAGGTAAGGGCTTACCCCTTGCTGGTAAAGAACAAGGCAAAGAGGGCATGGAGCATCTCGGCTTTTTCACGGCTCTTCATCACTAAGTGACCTGCCCTGYTCATCAGCAGAGCTGTGTGGTTCCTGGGTGTGTTTGTAATTAGAGTTGTTCAGATTTTTTTCTCTACCTCTGTGTGTAGACAGTTGTAATAGAAAGCCTGGAATTTGTTGTGAATGGAGTATGAATGGTAATGTCTGGGCGTGGGGTACATGGATGAAGCACACAACAGCAAAAGCCGTTATCTGTGTTCAGATTCACAAAAAAAACCTGGTTCCAGAGAAAAAGAGCAATGAAGAAATCCTGATAACTCACAGAGGTGAGACAGGATGGAGACACTCATCACCATGAGCTGCTAAAGGCTACAAAGAGATATATCCAAAATCTGTGCGTTGTTGCCAGCCCAAGAGAAACTCAGGGGAGATGAGACCCTCACAGCTGCTGTCACTTCTCTCCTGTATCATTGCCGTGGATGCTGGACACAACAAGGTCAGGACAGGGGCATCATCGTGGCGGATGGGCAGCCTGGTCAGCACTGCCTTGGTGCCCCGTGGCTGCAGGGGAACAGATGCTCCCCAGAGCATGGGGACATCCCAAGAGTGCGAGAGAGTTAAAGTTGCTTTATTCCAAAGTCTGCTTTAAATACAATCACCTTCCCCGAAGCAGGTCTGGCACTGGCATGTGCTGTATTGTTGGTAGAATGTCGCAACAGCATATCCCACGTTTGTCTTTTTGCAGGGAGCAAGCTGGTCTCAAAGCCTGAGTTCAGCCATTTGTGTTACTTTCTGTCATGAATCCTGGTGAGTGTTAATGGACAGTCTTGGTCGAATTTTCTGAGTATTCTTTGCACTATGATAACCTGAGAGGCTTTTTTTGAGTCGTGTCCTGCATCCGTCCATTGATCTTCAGAGCAAAAAGCTTTTTTTCCTTTTTATTAGTGTGTATTATGAACTGCTTTGGGTTGCCTTTTCTGTTAGCAGTTTTRTCATTCACCTAGCCTTAGTCACCACATTGATTAATCTGAACAGAAAAGGAGAGATGAAATAATCTTCAGAGTTGTTTAACGCCAACAGTTCYTTCCAATGTATACATTCAGCCAGCCCTACAATAACCCTGAAGCAAGTTTGAACAAAAGAATAAAGGAAAAATATATTTTTTTCTGCTCTTTGGTGCCATTTACAGTCTCTCCAAACTGCAAGCTGTGAATGCTCTGGGTAKATGAGAAGACTGATGAGGAAAAATGAAGCAGATTAATAATAACAGAAGAAAGAAACCTGATGGCAAAAACAGAAACAAAGCATGAGCTTAAAAATATGCAACAAGGTCACATTACATGAAAGAAGACTAAGAAATTAATAAAATAATCTTTTTTTTAATTAAAAAACAGTGCAAATACAAACTGACAACAAGTTTAAATTCAGATAAATTATGATGACCAGATTATTGGTAAATTGACCAGGAAACATTTGATTCTATTAGTGCTGTGGGAAGAAACATTCATTTWTGAGCAGGCTTGAGAGTAAAATTCAAATGTTTCTCTTGATTAGAGAAGTCACTCTATAATCTGCACCCAAATTACAMAACTTTCCACTTCTCAGACTTCATGTGCTGATAAAATCTCAAATGAAGGTGAAATTTTATGAGATTTATAGTTGCCAGGATGAGAGGATCAGTCTAGGAWCCCCTTCTCAGTTGTTTCTGGATTACTGAAGTTTATGTTTTGTGGAGGGGAAGTAGTTTGTTCAGGAGGAAACTATACAGAGTATTTTCAGTGGTCCTGCATTTACAGCTGTTAATGGACTAAGAAACTATGGGTCATAGATGTTATCTCAGTCTGATAAGAAAATTGGAACGTAGAGAATGGAAGTGAATGAAACATCTTCCTTATCTGATTGGAGTATTAGCCCTTAAGATCTTCTTATCAAKGGWCATGAGTCTAGATATCCCTCAAATGAGCAAATTGCCTGGTAATAGGCTAAAATGCTGCAAAAATAACAAAAATTCTTTCAGCAAGAAGTAAGCAGTCATTAAGAGCAAACCAGAGCTGCAGATCTGCAAAGAACTTTATTAGTAAGTTCCCTAAGTTGAGTTATTTTTTTTCMATCAGCATTGTCACAAGCATTGCAGAAGATTTTTTTTTTCTATAATACTTACAGGGTAAAGACAAATATTAATGAAACCTTGGAACACACAATGTTCAGCAATTGTTCATTGCAGCCGAATCTTGTATTTGCATGGAAGTTTTGCTTATACTTTTTTTCATATTGTTGAGCTCTTTATGGGAACAAAGATGCCATTCCAGTTAGAAGATGTTGGCTAGGCAGATTGTGGTTGGAATCTGTTTATTTCAAAAATAAACAAAGACTCAATCTGTTTACACAAGATCTGGAGGCACATCCGGAGATACTGAGTCTGATGGAAAACAATGGCAGAATGAGTGAATAAAATATTTCAGGCAGGACTTTGATTTCTGGAATCTGTAGTAGGAGCCAAACGGCTTGCCAGGGCACAATCTTACTGGTGATGCAGGATCAGGGAGGGATCTTGCTATC